CTTGATGTGGCAATTATCATGTTGTGATATTGTCTATTTACATTTCCGAGAGCTCTTTGAGGAGAGAGAACTTTAGCTCCAGAACTCATCAGACTACATTACATTTCCCCCTAATTTTTAAATTGTGGTAAAAGTACATATCTCATACACACACACACACCTAGCATAAAATGACTATCTTAACTTTTATTTCTTTATTTATGTTTAGGGACAGGGTCTCATTCTGTAGCACAGGCTGGAGTGTAGTTGCATGATCATCGCTCATTACAACCTCAAGCTCCTGGGCTCAAGGGATCCTCCTGTGTTAGCTTCTCATATAGCTGGAACTATAGGCATGCACTACACGTGGCTAATTTTTTGTTGAGATGGGGCCTCACTATGTTGCTCAGGCTGGTCTCAAACTCCTTGCCTCAAGCAATTCTCCTGTCTCGGTCTACCAAAGTGCTGGTATTACACGAGTGAGACACCATGTCTGCACTATCTTAACCTTTTTAAAGTGTACAGTTCACATTCTGGGAGGCCAAGGTGTGTGGATCGCCTGAGCTCACCAGTTTGAGACCAGCCTGAGCCTGAGTGAGACCTCATCTCTAAAAATAGCTGAGCATGTGTGGTAGATGCCTGTACCTGTAGTCCCAGCTACTCAGGAGGCTGAGGCAGGAGAATAGCTTAAGCCCGAGTTTGAGGTTGCTGTGATCTGTGAAGCCGTGGCACTTTACCGAGGGCTACAAAGTGAGTCTCTGTCTCAATTTAAAAAAAAGTATACAGTTCAGTGGTATTAAGTGCATTCATATTGTTATGCAACTATCACCACTTCTCACACTTTTTCATCTTATAAAACTGAAAATTCAGCCTGATGAGGTGGCTCATGCTTGTAATCCTAGTACTCTGGAAAGCTGAGGTAGGAGGATCACTTGATGCCAGGAGTTTGAAACCAGCGTGAGCAAGAGTGAGACCCTGTTTCTACAAGAAATAGAAAAATTAGCCAGTGATAGTGGCATGTGCCTATACTCCTAGCTATTTATGAGTCTGAGGCAGGAGAATCATCTGAGCCTGGGAGTGTGAGTTTGTAGTAAACTATGATGATGCCACTGCACTCTAGCCTGAGCAAAAACACCCAAACAAAATTCGACTCTATACCCATTAAATGACAACTTCTTAGTACTTCCCTCTCCCCTGCCCCTGGCCACTACCTCCCTACTTTCTGTCTCTATGATTTTGACAACTCTACCTCAAATAGGTGAAGTCATACATTATTTATCTTTTTATGATTGGTTTACTTCACTGGGCATAACATCATCCAGGTTGTAGTGTATTACAAAGTTTCCCTCCTTTTTAAGGGTGTATAACATTCCATTGTATGGCTATATCACATTTTGCTTATCCATTCATACACTGTTGAACTCCTGGGTTGTTTCTACATTTTAGCTATTATGATTAACCTTCTGTGAACATGGGTGTACACATATCTCTTGAGACATTGCTTTCAATTTGGGGGGTATATACCCGGAAGTGAAATTGCTAATCATCTGATAATTCTATTTTTTGAGGAACCACTATATTGCTTTCCTATTACATTCCTATCAACAGTGTGCAAGGGTTCCAATTTCTTCATATTCACTTCGGCTCTTGCTGTTTTTTTTCTAGTAGCCATCCTAATAGGTGTGAGGCGGTACCTCATTGTACTTTTGACAAGCATTTCCCCAGTGACTAATGATGTTAGGTATCTTTTCAAGGGCCTATCAGCCATTTCTGTATCTTCTCTGGAGAAATTTCTATTCAAGTCCTTTGCCCAGTTTGAAATTTTTTTTTTAGTAAGTGCTAGTAAAACATTTATTTTGAAAATTCATTTGGTGTTCAGGTGATAAAAGTAAATTAAGAGCTAATAATCTTATTTAAGCTTTAAAAGACAAAAAGAAGATATAATTTCATACATGCAGACTTTTTTTTTTGGCCGGGGCCAGGTTTGAGCCTGCCACCTCTGTTATATGGGTCCGGCACCCTATTCCTTTGAGCCACAGGCACCGCCCTGAATGTTATCCTTTATTCCAGTAGCTATGATTAACCCAGTCCTTGTTTATATGCTTTGATTTAGTACTACTGAGTATCTCCTATATGCAAGGCACTCAGGGCCATGAGTCCTAGCCTCTAGCATAGGACTTCTAGACGACCTCCCCACGTAGAAGCCAGTAAAGACGGTGTACGCCCCTGTGCTCATGGCCTGTGTATCTATTGACTCTTCCTCTCTGGCTAATAGCTTAGCTCTGTCTGGAGCTTAGCTTCTCCCGTCTGAGAAGTCTTTTGCTCTGATGTAGAAGCCATGCCAAAGGACAATGACTCATTCAACTGTCATCACTGGGCTGTTGTTGTTATTAAGTTTTAGGAGTCCTCTGTATATTCTGATTATTAATCCCTTATCAGATATGTGATTTGCAAATATTTTTTCTCATTCTGTGGGTTGCCATTTTGCTCCATTGAAAATTTTTTTTTAAAAAGAAACATGATCTCAGCTGGGTGCTGTGGGTCACACCTATAATCTTAGCACCTGGGAGGCTGAGACAGGTGGATTGCCTGAGCTCACGGGTTTGAGACCAGCCTGAGCCAGAGTGAGACCCCATCAGAAAAAATAGCTGGGCATTGTAGAGGGCACCTATAGTCCCAGCTGCTTGGGAGGATGAGGCAAGAGAATCTCTTGAGCCCAAGAGTTTGAGGTTGCTGTGAGCTAAGATCCACGGCACTCTACCGAGGGTGACCAAGTGAGAGTGTCTCAGAAAAAAAAGAAAGAAAGAAAGAAATATGATCTCAGCCAGGCACAGAGGCTCATGCCTGTAATCCTACCATTCTGGGAGGCTGAGTTGGGAGGATTGCTTGAGCTCAGGAGTTTGAGACTAGCCTGAGCAAGAGTGAGACCCTGTCTCTACAAAAAATAGAAAATCTAGCAGGGCATTGTGGTGGGTGCCTGTAGTCCCAGCTACTTGGGATGCTGATCCCTTGAGCCCAAGAGTTTGAGGTTGCTGTGAACTTTT